TTTCTGCTCCCCTCCCTGCACCCACGAAGCTATCGCCCCCCACACACACTCACTGTTGAGACGGAGCTAGCCTCTCCCAATATGGATAATACATGGATATGGATTTTCACGTGGATGGCGTGACCATAGAACGATAGAACCGGGAAGCGCGGAGGAATGAGACTTTCTTTTGGATGGCTGTGATTGCTGTGTAAGCAGTACCCGGTGACGAAGACGAGAAAGTTTCAGGTTAGCTCCACCGCTTGTTGTGCTAACTTAGCCGTCTATGCTAACGAACCTGGAGATTTCTCACGAAAGTGGGGGCCAGTGGTCCGCTGTGATTGGTCACAATCTGCGACCCGAAACACATTCTCTTCCTTGTTTCATCAAAACTCGATCAAAAATATAATGTCAGGCCAGCACAAATCTGCACTACTTTTTCTTCAAAAGGACGTATATCCCAATGCACTACATGGACATGGATAGCATTTTTGTAATTAATACGAAAATAAAGTCAGTTAGTGCAGCTTTAAGCTGTATCTAATTATTTTGCACTGCATCATGATTAGAAAGCTGGTCTCGAAAGTGCAGTGTTTTCACAGCGGTGAGTAGTTAGTAAGTAAGTAAAAGTAGATATGTATAAGACAAATGCCATATAATTCTAAAATTCCTACTTTATTTAAATTCTACTTTAGCAAAAATATAAGTACCTGCAAAAGTATAAATACTTCAACATCTCTTTCCCAACACCTCTGTCAGAAATATTAAATATCTCAACCCACACAAAAAAAAAATCTAAATTTTAAAATAAAGTTTCACACTGACTCCCCTAAAATGGGAAAAAGACTTAGACCTCACCCTCATGCCAATCTCTAGTCCCAGATTTTTGAAAATATCTACTTTATGTCCCAAAATACAAACATCCAACTTTTCCAAAACAAAATAATTCACAGATTCCACTTCGTGGGTAAAAAGCTACACAAAATGAGTTCCTCAAAACACACCAGACACTAGGCACGCACTCTGGAACTGCTCACCCGATAGAACACAGCATCCTTGGCTGCCACGTCCCATTGTCTCCAGCTCTCTTATCACTATTATTACTATTACTGTTACTATTACTAATATATGTATTTAATGTCTGCACCTGTATTGTCCATCTATATTTTCCACAATAAAAAAGTACCTGCAAAAGGATATGTGTTTTATCCCTGTGTGTGTTTACTTTCCGTTGGGCTAAAAAATAACCATTTGTGATGCATTATGTGTGTCCACGTGCAGGAGGAGCAGGGGACGTGTTTGTGACATAAGTAATCAACTTTTGACATCAAAACAGAGAGGACGCTTGTGAGCTGTGTCATCAAAGGTTGGGTCCGTGGCATTACAATCTTTTTATTGGCAGTGTCGCTTTGGGTTGTGTATTGTATCTACTGTATATGTTAATTAATACCAAGAGCCATGTTCAAAGGACATTTATAGACAGGCGTGTCCCACTCCCTGTCTATAAATGTATACACGGATGCAAATCATCCAAATAATTACCCATGGAAAATTCAGCAGCCATTGTTGTGTGCGACCTTTATCTCGAAGTAATCTGTACTTTTACAGAAGGTTGTTTTATAATAATACACACACCCCTCTTTTTGATATTCCCTAATTAACAAACCTGGAGTTGTTTTTAGCTTGATTCCCTTCTGAACAACAAACTAAAATCACACTACACCTTATATTGCAGTCGCGCTCCCCAAGTTTTTCTGTAGATTATGGAGGAGGAGTTTTGGTTCACATTAGCAAACTCATACCGATTCAATAATTCTTTCTTCATTATGATTTTAGATTTGCTTCTAATTTTATGCTAAAGTTTTTTATTTGTAGTATAGGGTTATTATTCATTTATCTTGTGTTGTGTGTTCCTCATTCATACTGTTCTGTAACCAGTGCTAAAACACTGGGACAAATAAAGGATTTCTTCATCTTAATCTTAATAAATAGGATTCAAACAAAGTGCTGTTCCTCTAACACCTTAGTCTCTGCAGTAGAATTTTGTACTTTATTGTGTCAAATGCAGGGCTGTCATGTGTGACTTGTGCTGTTTGTTGTGCTACAAGTTCTGAATCCGGGTTGAAATAAATTTGGTAAAGCTATTACAGTTGCAATCACACTTTAGTTGCCAGAATCTTCCTGGAGCCTCCAAGCACAGTGTGGATCTACAGCCATCAGTCCAATCGTGGGAGCGGGTTTTTCCCAGCAGGTTTCTGAGTTAATGCAGAAGTGTTCATGGACATTTTTCATCCCTCTCCCTATGGACGAATCTTCTGTGTTCCAACAGTTTGATTCTCTGATCTGTTGTTGAGAAATCCGAGACGACTGCTGAGCTACACAAAAATTAATGTAATCGAAATTAATGACTCCACTTTACACATTTGTTGAAAAGGTTCTGGTTTGTGGGAAACATATTTAATTGCAATGACAGCTTTTGAAATGCAAAAATGAAAGCATTCAATTAATTGAAATGGATGCATTAAAAAGCCCCACACCTATTAGCGAGGACAGAGAACAAGTTGTTTTTGAATTTACCCAGGTCTCACCTCAGAACTCAAGGAGACCTGTCTCCAAAGTCCTATGAGGAATTTGAATGGTGATTTTTACTCTTGATGCGTCCTCACTTTGCAGCTCCTTTTGTGTGTACAGCTGGTGTTTCTGTAAATGTGCAACACAAATGAAACTGACAGCCAAAAGATTAGTCAGGGTCAGAATGCGAGACATTCCCAAACGCTCTGTGCAAGTGAGCTGTTGTGTATTAGAAGGTGGGATGCATGCGACCTAGGTTCTATTATTCCACGTAAAGTAACTTGCGTTCATTATTACATCAGAGACATTACTGGATTATAAACCAACAGTAATCATCTTCATCAAAAGAGGAATGCCAGACAAAGGGCAAAACAAAACACACAATTAAGAGGAATGCAGAAGGTGAGATTTTGATTTGATGATGATTTAACTTCATGTCAAAATCATTGTTAGGGCGGCGAGGTGGCGCAGTGGTTAGTAATTGTGCTTCACAGCAAGAAGGTCCTGGTTTCAATTCCACCTCCAGCCCACAGGTCAGGGCGGGCAGGGAAGTTGGCAGGTGCAGACGGTGGGGGCCAGTCAAAATAATAAGGCCAATGATGCAGATGAATTAGGAAGGAAGAGAGGATAGTGCTCAAGTTACCATACTTCTCCCAGCGAACTGACTCCATACGCAGCTTGACTGACAATCTGAGATTTTTAGTCTTCCCTGAGTCTTCCTTCCATATCATTTGCTAAATTAAAAAGGACTGTTTTAAGCATGGCCTTTAATGCAGAGACTGTGTCTGCTTCCTTAATGGGAAGCTGATTCCACAGTAAAGGAGCTTGGTAGCTATGCTCTGCCACTGACAGAGCTTATTGAGACTTTAGGAACCACCAAACGTCTGGCGTTTTGCGAGCGCATTACTTGGTTTGGTTGATTTGACACTATAGACTGTAATTATTAATGGACGTAGTCACGCCTATCTCGGCCGTTCAAACAGTTAGGTTGCCGTACCGACTAAGTACCGGTACGGCAATAGGTTCTGTTACATTTCACATTTATATGTACAAGTGCACATCTCCCTGCCACGAAGGACTCAGGAACACAGGTGAACACACGAACAGAAACACTGGAGAACAGAGAGAGAACCAGGAGAAACTGGCAACAAAATGTCCCCAACCTATGGATTACAGTAGAGTCACTACAAGGCACAACGCAATGCTGCTTTCAGCCAGTTTCAGATAAACCTACTTTATGACACATGCTGAGCACGCACCCTTGACGGGTGACGAGCTGACCAACACCCACAGCCGGCTACGACACACTGGGACCCCAGCAACGAGGGCGGCCAGACGCCAGAGCAACAGGACAGCATGGCCATATAAGCAGGACTCGCGGGGCTACAGGGCCTCACCGCGGCACTGAAGCAACATTAATGTTAGTTGTACATTCTGGATCATAACGACTACCTGGAGCAGGAGGCAGGCGCAACGCAACATAGGAGACGGAAGTGCAGAGGTAAACAAAGACGTAACACTAAGCTAGTTATACTGTGATGCGCCCTCTAGTGGACACAAATATAGTAGCCAAGTCCATCTTGCCACATTTACAAGGCCCCACCTTCTGGAGGACATCTCTTTTTTAGAAATCCCAGACCCTTGTGTGAAGCTCAGCAAACTACAAGGGTCCGGCAGGAGTCAGGCTAGTCATGTTTTCCGATTCCAAAACTAGGTTTGAAATTAAATCGGATAATTATGTCAGGAACGCGCTGGAGGGACCAGGAGGTCAAACGCCGTTCAAAACGCAAGAAATGCAATAATAAAAACCCATAGAGTCCATAAGGGGCAGATGGCCATTGTCAATAAATGTTGATATATATCCATAAATATATATCCATCATCACCACTGTCCTTTTTGACCCTCCTGCTGGTGTCTGGTGTATTCAACGCTGGTGCTGTTCATGACTATGCACTGTCCCAGCCAAATAAACATTGAAATACTAATGATTGTCAAAAGCCAACATTTTCAGCATTATAATTTTTTTATTACAATCCGTCCAATCGATGATTTTTTACAACAATTACAACGATTCACAAAACAAGACAGCTTTATCTCATACTGTCATGTAAATCTGTGTGGGGTGTGCAAACTTTATCAAACCAAGATAGTTTAAAGGAATCATTGGAGACGTGATCTATTGTATCTCTGAACTATGTGTGGATGCTACAGTTCAGAACACACAATTGTCTCGCTTCATGATGCATTTGTGCGTCATGAGCAAGTAATGACCGTGTTGACTTGATTCACAAAGAAATACTAATGATCAGTTTAAACATTCAATTATAAAAGTTCAGTGATGAAATGTACAGTAGATTTGTGTTGTGTTTCTTGTGTTGTCAATGTAGTGTGTTTTTTGTGTTGTGTTTCTCATGTTGTAAAAGTACAGTGTGCTCTTGTGTTGTTTCTCATGTTGGGCCAGCAGTGGTGTGTGGGGGAAGAGGGTTATATGTTTTGATTTTATTTTTAGGTTTATGATTTTATGTAAATTTAGCCTGTCTGTTTTGTCTGTATCGCCTGAATTTATCCTTGTGGGATGAATATTCTGAACTCTGCCCCTCTCTCCTCATTTATACACACACAAAAATCTAAATTGTGTTATTGTCTGTCTATAGAATACTTTTTAAAATTAGAAGTTTGCATTTTCATTTATTACTTTTCTGGTTCAGTTTTGGTTAGTGGTTGGGGAAACCGTAGCACCCAGAGGAAACCTGGGTAGACATCTCCACTCAAACTCCACTCAAACAGTTTTTAACCTGGATGTGAACATTGTCTTGGTAGTTTTCAGGAAGACGGGAGCTCTTAAAAACAAGAACGTTCACTTAGGCCCTGAGCTTCTCCAGCAGGCTGATCCATAGTGCTGGAAAGAGTGTGGGTTGTGACTTTTGGAATGACTTGGAGCCTGCTGCCAGAAGAGTGCAGAGGCCGGGAATTTTTATATGGTAAAAGCATTCCTGAAGATAAGACCCAAGACCATTAAGACATTTGCAACATCACTGCCAAAGAAAGTGTTCTTAGAATAATCAGACTCTTCTGGCCCCTGGAAAAGCCATGTTCCAGCTTCTTCCCTCTGGCAGGCGATATTGTTGAGATGCAGGACCTCTCAATATGCAAACAGCTTCTTTCCACACGCTGCCATCAGTGTGGACAAAGCACTTTAATGACAGTTTCTTTCTTGGCAGCGGGGCCAACATCGGAGCCAGCGGCGGAGCTAGCAGCGGGGCCAACATCGGAGCCAGCGGCGGAGCTAGCAGCGGGGCCAACATCGGAGCCAGCGGCGGAGCTAGTAGCGGGGCCAACATCGGAGCCAGCGGGGGAGCTTGCAACGGAGCCGGTAACGGAGGTAACGGAGCTAACATCGCCAGCAACGGACCATGGGATAGTCTCAGAACCACAATCACAAAAAAATATGAATCAACCAAAACCTACGAACTCTAAGGTAACATACAGACAGCAGCAGACAAAACTTTTACAAACTGTGAACCATGCTAAAGTTATCTGGGACCCTGATGTTAAACCAAAGGGGATTTTTGGTGGTCACCTTAATATCAGAAGTCTCCCATCTAAAACAGATCAACTTCAGAAATTATTGTATGACTCTAACTTGGATTATTTGGGGCTCTCAGAAACATGGTTAAAAAAACATTCCCCAGCAGGCACCTATACCATGCAGAACTACAACATATTTAGGAAAGATCGACCACATAAAAAAGGAGGTGGGGTGATGTTGTATGTTAAAAAGACTATCGAATGAAAACAGATAAATCTTCCCCAAAATGATCTGGAGTGTGTGGGAGTTACAATCTGTTTATCCCCCGAAATGTCTTTTAACTTGGTAGTCGTGTATAGGCCACCTAATGAGAAGGATGTATTTTTTGACATGTTTAAAGACGTATTAAAAGCATGTAGCGACAAGGAAACCATCGTAATGGGTGATTTCAACCTAAATTGGGTAGATAAAACGCGGTCCAATAAGCTAAGACACCTTGCTAAACAGTTTAATTTCACTCAAATGATTAAGAACCCAACCAGAATGACTAGCTCCTCAAAAACCTTGCTGGATTTGATTTTCACTAACAGGGCGGAAAGGGTTAATAAAACGTATAATTTAATAACTGGTTTATCGGACCATAATCTCACTCTAGTTTCAAGGAAACTCTCTAAATATCGTTATAGAAACCAAAATAAAGAAGGGTCCTATGTATCAGTTATTTCAAAGCGTGATATGGAGCTTTTAGATGCTGAAATTGAAACTACTATGCAAAATAATTTAGTTTTTGGCCAGGATGTCGAGCAGGCTTGTAGCACTCTTAAAAATGCAATCTCTCAAATTCTTCTAAAATTTACAAAAACAGAGCCACGAAGATTTAAAAGTAAAAAAAAATTACCGTGGTTCAGTGAGCGGCTATGGGTCCTAATGAAGGATAGAGATGCTTCCCTAAAAAAGTATCTCAAGTCAAATTTGAGAACTGACCGAATGATCTTTAAAAGCCTCAGAAAGAAAGTAACTGGACAGCTTAGAAGAGCAAAAGCGGACTTCTTTTTGGACATTATTAAACAAGCCAAGGGTAATAGTAAAATTATATGGAAGTGCATAGACAGTCTCTCTAGGAAAGAGCGGACTGGAAATGGACCTATTGAACTTAACATTAACCCTTGTAATACTGGAACACTCACACCTGTAACACAAGTCACCACAAAGGACAGCTCAACTATCGCAAACATGTTCAACGACTATTTTATCTCTTCAATCTTGGAATTGCGTAAATCCTCAAGTACGGAGTTGCATTTAACATCATCTGCAGCCTCTATTAGGGCTGTGGCGACGCGGCCCACAGATGGACTACAATCCATTTCTGTGGAAGCTCTAGACTTTGAATCTGTGAGCGAAGGCGAGGTTAATAAAATAATTTCCTCACTTTCAAATTCGAGAGCCAAAGATTGTTGGGGATTTGATTCACTCCTTCTAAAAAAACATAAAGAGGTTTTCACTGGTCCAATCACGTACATAATGAACCAATCACTAGGAGAATGTGTGTTCCCCTCCTCTTGTAAATTTGCAGTTGTTACGCCCATTTTTAAGACAGGTAACAAAAAGGAATTGATAAACTATAGACCAATTAGTATACTTCCTACTTTCTCAAAAGTTATCGAAAAAATTGTTGCGGAACAGCTGGTGGAACACCTTGACAATAGAAATATGTTACACCCCATGCAATTTGGCTTCCGATCAAAACATTCCACCGATACAGCCTGTTGTTATCTTCTTGAGGTGATTAAGTCCAATCTAGACAAAGGAGGGGTGGTTGGGGCCATTTTTCTGGATCTGCGTAAGGCTTTCGACACAGTTAACCACTCAGTGCTGCTAACAAAACTGTTGAATTTTAATCTTTCAGCAAACACTATTAGTTGGTTTCAATCTTACCTTGCAGATCGTTTTCAGTGCGTAAAAATAAATGATAAGATCTCACCTTTTAGCCCCTGCACTACTGGTGTACCACAGGGGTCTATCTTGGGGCCATTGCTTTTTTCTTTGTACATCAATGACCTACCTTCCATCTGTGATGATGTGGAGGTCTTGATGTACGCTGATGACACGGTTCTATTTACTCACAGCTCTGATGCAAATCTTGTCGCAGATAAATTATCTATAGCTATGAATAAAGTAAAAGAGTGGTTGAACAAGTCAAGCCTTACGCTGAATTCAGAAAAAACTGTCACTATGTATTTTTCCAACAAAAGAAAGAGTGTTCTTCCAAATATCTATGTGGATGGTTTGATGATCAAAAATGTCCAAGAAATCAAGTACCTAGGTGTAGTGCTGAATCCTACCCTTAATTTTAAAAACCATGTTAAAAAGGTTTGCCGCGTTCTGAAATTTAACATCGCCAACTTCCAGCACATCAGGAGCTTTTTGTCATTGGAAGCAGCTACATCATATCTTAATGCAATGATTATATCTCATATCATGTATTGTGTGTCTTCATGGTCTCAAGCTAAAACAACGGTTTTAAACCCCCTTAGATCGTTGTATAACCAGGCTTTGAAAGTCCTGGATAAAAAGCCTCGCCGGTACCATCACTGCAATATACTTGAAAAATACAGCATACTAAGCTTTGACAATCTGATTAGGTATTCCAATGTACGTTTGGTTCATAAGATTCTTAATGATACTGCCCCACCCCCCCTAAAAAACATATGTACAGCTTCGCTCACAGCTAACCAACAGAGCATTAAGATCTGTGTCCAGGGGAGACTGCAATGTTCCTAAGAGAAAGTCTGCCTTCTCTCAATCAGCCTTTTCCTACAAAGCCACTAAAGAATGGAATGGGCTCCCAGACAATCTAAAGAACAATGCAGATTTCCACAGTTTTTCACGGGCAGTTAAAGACTGGCTTTTAGATCAACAGTCCTGCTCGCACTAAAAGTACCAGATGGGTACGTGGCCATCAGGTGTTACCCTCGCGGGTATCGTCTGATGGCCACCACATCACCACATTATTAGTGTTAAAAACTATTGTATCTATGTGCTAAGTATGTATAGCTACAAAATAATTATGAAAACTGTTGCACTTTATCATTCTGCACTTTATGAACGCAACTGGCACTTTTCATCTGCACTTTTACTATATATTGCATGTTTATTGTCTATGTTTTGTATTGTAATTAACTCTGCTATGTATTTTAATTGTATTTTTGATTGTATAAGGACTACAGATGGAAATTAGCATTGTGCTAAATCTGGGGCAGCCATCTTTTTAATGTACCTGTCCGTTGTCCTTTTAAATAAATAACTAAACTAAACTAAACTAACTAACTAAACTTTAAGCCTGTTTTATTCATGTACGAGTACTGGGGCACTTTTCACACAAGTAGCAATTAAACTGAATCTGAATCTGTCCAGTGTTGGTGAAGACAAACTATCAGATGTGTTCAAAACAGTAGTGCGTGCTATAAAAAAATTGTTAAATCTGATTGTTTTTGTCTTCCCCATTAAGTGAACCGTAAACTGCTCACTGAGAGAGTCTGTTGGGGTTATAGAGGACATGTTAAAATCAGAGTTTAAAATGGTGTCAATGCTTGAGAATAATTCCTTTGAGTTATCATTGTCACTGTCTTCTACGATAAATAATGGGCTTGTGCATTGTACGTGACACTTTTGCTATGGTCATTGAAGTGGGACTTCAGAGCTCTGAAGTGGTCTGTGAGGCCGTTCTGAACTAATAACTTTGACAGTGAACATAGTATATCAAGACTCTGCCCCTCTCAAGGTACAATATAACTTAATTTTTTACACATTTTGCAACATTAGAATTTGATTTTGTAACTGAAAGAGCACAGCACAGTAACTGACAACTGTGAAGCAAAAGCAAAATTATTCTTTATTCGGTCATTAGGGCTCCCGACTTAAACATTATTAGTTGAGCTTTAAGATCAAGGGTTGGTGTGAAACAGCTCCCATTCGTGATTGCTGAGGTGTGTCCTTGGGCAAGACACTTAACCTGCCTCGCCCCCAGTGTCTGCGTACACTAGCGTGTGGATGGGTGAACGGTTCACGATGTGTAGAGCTGGGAGTGCCTTGAAAAGGCTGTAAAGTGCTTTATAGATGTGACCATTTAACATTAAAAACAATATGAATCAAAAACTGAAACTCTGTGTCCTTTTGTGTAAAGCACCCTGTGTTGCTCTGTACAAAGAAACCTCTCTAGTGTGGCACTAGCTGTGAATACTACTCAAAGGATTGTGTGACATAAAGACATACCCATGCACTACACAACTACTGCACAAGTTCAGTTGAAGTCACACAAAAGTTCCACTTTGATGACTGAGCTTTCTATCCTGAGTTCTTTGATTTGCACTTGAATTACACAGAAAGAATATTGGGAAACAATAAATAGAACAGTCAGCTTCTCATGACGTTTGAGGCTGAAGGTATGACAAACGCCTACCACAGTCATAGGTTTCAAATGTCACTGATTACTCAGGTCACAGAGCAGCCAACATATCATTATGTAAACTATGGGTGTGTTTGCACTCCCAGTGGACTCTAAATTAATTTTACTCTACTCTACTGTCTTTATAAATAATGCAATAGAATAAACAAAAATGTTCGAGTCTAATAATGGTCTAATTGCATTAGAGATTAATCGCATCAGAGATTTTTGTTTAAATGGGCTGTTTCCCCGACAGGGCTCAAAATGACAGATTTGAATCTGAAGAAAACCACATATCAAGATACAAGACCGTGGCATTTATGGTTTAGGAGAGAAATAATGGGGAAAATTGTTGTTCTGCTAATCGTCCCGAGCAGAGGACGAGTCACGAGACAAAGGGTTATTACAAGAGCCGGTACTTTAAACGCATTAATTAAGATTAACTAATCACACAAAAATTAGCGCGTGCATTTATTTTAACGCATTTTCATTGTATTTCTTTATGCACCACGGTGCACTTAATGAGACGGACCAATTGTGCTGGAGCACTAACTAACGCGCATGAATTGGGTTCAGACAACAACAAACCACAGGTGGCACAGTGAACATGAACAAAGAAGCCGATGTGACCCCGTTGGTTGGCCCTGTGGATGGGAAAAAAAATAACTTTTTTATATGCAATTAATTGCAATAATGAATTCCCAAAGCCTCTAATTAATTTGATTTAGAAAAATGTAATTGAGTCCCTGTCCTAGTTATTACATTTCTTTCAGAATTGGGAAACTCAAGATGCAAGGTATGACATCAAGGACTGTTCAAACCTGGTCAGAACAGGCAAACACATGTGGAATCATACAATAGATGTTACTTGTAGAGGAATGGGCATCATCACGGTGTTTTTGACCAAACTTCAAAATGTTCAAACTCTTTTTTAACGGGCTTTGTTGGGTTGCATGTGCATCTTTTAATATAGCTCTACAGCAGTAAAAATAGCGTTCAGGTATTCTTATTTATCTCGAGGGACAACAAGAGAAATGAGTGCATGCAGGCACCTAGAAATGTAGAAACCAATATGGTGAAAAGATCTGGGGCACTAATTTTAAAATAAAAATAAAAATTTATCTTTTTAAGATTTTTTCTTAAAATTAGAGTTCCTCAGGCTTTTTCCTATTCTCCACATCTCTATCTGTTAATGTTTCATTAAAATACATCGGACATGTCCAAATTTATGCTGTCAACGCCTAAATGGGTGAGATGTAGTACATATCAGCCCTGAGGTCCTGAGGTTCGCTTGTGGCAGATTTTTCAAACATTGACGTTACCTTCAATAGAAATAAATCCAGCACAAAATAGAAGGCTGGCCACTTATCTTCTTGTTTTAGATCATGGGTAATGGGAATAGTATCCATATGCAGGACCTTTGATATAAGGGGGTTGCAAACTAATCACTAGAAGAAAGCAATATATGAAATGGACAGAGGCCGTAAATATAATAATGAGGTGAATCACATTACATTCATAACGATGTAAGCAAAGGGCAAGCATTACTTTAATTGTCATGTTGATGATTCCACAAATATGCAGTGCATTTCCCAATTACACAGATCTGCTCACAATGTCACTTAACAAGTTTGCCACCCATACACTGCAGTATCATCCCACTGCGGCCTCCACCTGCAGACTGGGAGGAGACTGCAGGTGTATAATCATCTTAATAACTGTTAATTAATTGTTACGTTAGCCTTTTCTGACGTCTAATGTCAAGGATCACAGTGAGTATAAATCTGCCAAACTCTTCGATCAGCTTGAAAACGCAAGACACTGGGATAGCAGTGAGAAAACAAACCACAAGAGAAATCCTTCTATATCTATGTAAGTAAACTTTACTACTGGTTTTTCATCTATTTATGCTTTATTACATTACAGAGCTAATGATAACTGTCATGAATATTTAATTTGCCTGTATATTTGCTATTGGTATTTGATCTTATTTTATATATGCTTTTTAAAACAAAAAGGTTTTCTTTTCTTTTTCACTTGCAAAAACTAGTCTTACTTTTCAGATTTGTAATTTACTTTTTTAACGGTTGCAAACAAATATATAATTAACACTAGCCGACCTATTGTGACTGCATAATAATATATTGCCAACAATAAATAATTTCTGAAATGTATATATATTAGGGCTGTCAAACGATTCATTTTTTTTAGTTGATTAATCGCATAGCAATGGTGAGTTAACACACGATTAATCGCATTTTTAACATTCTATTTCAAATCCCCTCCAATTGAAGTTAAATGAGATTTTCAAATGTAATGACACATTGTTATTCATACCAAATGTACTTAAATCTGTTTGACTTGCCCACAACCTTCTACTTTTGGGTACAACCAGCAAGAGCTGTTAATGAAAGGAAAAATGTAGGTACCCCAGCTTTAATTTTGCGAGTTTGGTTGCATTTCAGCGTGTCTTCTCCTCTGTGTGTCACACAACATCAGAGAATGGCCCCTGTGCGTGTATATATATACGTGAATTATATGACCACGTTACCGCTGTCACCATCACACACGCACGTGTCCGTGGCATTCTGAGTGATATTTTTTATAAATGGGCGGGTCATTCGGACATGTGATTGACTGCCAGCCCATTTCAGAACAGGTACTCCCATATTGCCAGCCGTTTCTGATGATTTTTACTGAATTTTCAAGACCCACAGAATATTGTGTACTATGACAGATTCTGAAAGAATGGACTTTCTCCTTTCATCAGCAAAATTAATTTTGTTTCTAGCTTGTTTCGTTCCCCTGTAATCCCCAGTCGAGTAGAGGTAAGTTTTATTGAAATCCCCAGAAAGCTGAGAGCTGTTTTCAAACCATCCATAGAGCAATGCTGCCATCTGCTGGCTTTGATACAATAGACATCTGGGAACGTGAAAATAGCGGGAAACGCGATTAACGTGTTAACACGTCAATGGCAGTTAATGCGATAATTTTTTTAAAACGCGTTAATGAAAACGGTAATTAACATGAATTAACGCGATAATTTTGACAGCCCTAATATATATATATATATATATATATTATTATTATTATTATTATTATTGCTAAATTCTACCGCAAAGGCTCTGAGAATTCACAAGCACACGACACCTAACACTTCTGGCTTTGGATTGTGTTTTCAGTTCTTTTTGAAACTCGTAAGTCGACAGCAGTGCAAAGAAGGGATTGTCCACTGTTGATGATGAGGGTCAGGCTGCTTCTCCTGGTGTTATTACCAGTCGGTGAGTATTATGAATCTCTCTCTCTGTGTGTGTGTGTGTGTGTGTGTGTGTGTGTGTGTGTGTGTGTGTGTGTGTGTGTGTGTGTGTGTGTGTGTGTGTGTGTGTGTGTGTGTGTGTGTGTGTGTGTGTGTGTGTGTGTGTGTGTGTGTGTGTGTGTGTGTGTGTGTGTGTGTGTGTGTGTGTGTGTGTGTGTGTGTGTGTGTGTGCGTGCGTGCGTGCGTGCGTGCGTGCGTGCGTGCGTGTGAGTGTAAAAAGGAAAAACACTTTTTTAACTCTTTTTATACTGCAGTGATGAATGTCCAACAAGCGGAAAGTTCACTGAGGGACAGGTGTCCAGACAGGACCACAACAGCACCTCCAACAACCACCACAACAACGGTTCCTCCAACAACCACCACAACAACTCCTCCAACAACCACCACAACTGCAGCTCCTACAACAACTACCACCACATCGGCTCCTCCAACAACCACCGCACCTCCAACAACCACCACAACAACAGCACCTCCAACAACCACCACAACCACAGCTCCTCCAACAACCACCACAACAGCTCCTCCAACAACCACAACTACAGGTCCTCCAACAACCACCACTACAACAGCACCTCCAACAACCACCACAACAACAGCTCCTCCAACAACCACCACAACCACAGCTCCTCCAACAACCACCACAACAGCTCCTCCAACAACCACAACTACAGGTCCTCCAACAACCACCACTACAACAGCACCTCCAACAACCACCACAACAGCTCCCCCAACAACCACCACAACAACAGCTCCTCCAACAACCACCACAACATCGGCTCCTCCAACAACCACCACTACAACAGCACCTCCAACAACCACCACAACATCGGCTCCTCCAACAACTACCACAACGACAGCTCCTCCAACAACCACCACAACAACAGCTCCTCCAACAACCACCACAACCACAGCTCCTCCAACAACCACCACAACAGCTCCTCCAACAACCACAACTACAGGTCCTCCAACAACCACCACTACAACAGCACCTCCAACAACCACCACAACAGCTCCCCCAACAACCACCACAACAACAGCTCCTCCAACAACCACCACAACATCGGCTCCTCCAACAACCACCACTACAACAGCACCTCCAACAACCACCACAACATCGGCTCCTCCAACAACTACCACAACTACAGGTCCTCCAACAACCACCACTACAACAGCACCTCCAACAACCACCACAACAGCTCCCCCAACAACCACCACAACAACAGCTCCTCCAACAACCACCACAACATCGGCTCCTCCAACAACCACCACTACAACAGCACCTCCAACAACCACCACAACATCGCCTCCTCCAACAACCACCACAACAACAGCTCCTCCAACAACCACCACAACCACAGCTCCTCCAACAACCACCACAACCACAGCTCCTCCAACAACCACCAAAACAGCTCCTCCAACAACCACAACGACAGCTCCTCCAACAACCACTACAACAGCACCTCCAACAACCACCACCACAACAGCTCCCCCAACAACCACCACAACAACAGCTCCTCCAACAACCACCACAACATCGGCTCCTCCAACAACCACCACAACAACGGTTCCTCCAACAACCACCACAACAACAGCACCTCCAACAACCACCACAACAACAGCTCCTCCAACAACCACCACCACATCGGCTCCTCCAACAACCACCACATCAACAGCTCCTCCAACAACCACCACTACAACAGCACCTCCAACAACCACGACAACAACAGGTCCTCCAACAACCACCACAACCACCGCTCCTCCAACAACCACCACAACAACAGCTCCTCCAACAACCACCACTACAACAGCACCTCCAACAACTACCACAACTACAGCTCCTCCAACAACCACCACAACAGCTCCTCTAACAACCACAACCACCGCTCCTCCAACAACCACCACAACAACAGCTCCTCCAACAACCACAACAACTACAGGTCCTCCAACAACCACCACAACAACAGCACCTCCAACAACCACCACAACCACCGCTCCTCCAACAACCACCACAACAGCTCCTCCAACAACCACCACTACAACAGCACCTCCAACAACTACCACAACCACAGCTCCTCCAACAACCACCACAACAACAGCTCCTCCAACAACCACCACAACCACCGCTCCTCCAACAACCACCACAACAACAGCTCCTCTAACAACCACCACAACAACAGCACCTCCAACAACTACCACAACCACAGCTCCTCTAACAACCACAACCACAGCTCCCCCAACAACCACAACAACTACAGGTCCTCCAACAACCACCACTACAACAGCACGTCCAACAACCACCACAACCACCGCTCCCCCAACAACCACCACATCAACAGCTCCTCCAACAACCACAACAACTACAGGTCCTCCAACAACCACCACTACAACAGCACCTCCAACAACCACGACAACAACAGTTCCTCCAACAACCACCACAACAGCTCCTCCAACAACCACCACAACCACCGCTCCTCCAACAACCACCACAACAACAGCTCCTCCAACAACCACCACACCAGCTCCTCTAACAACCACAACCACCGCTCCTCCAACAACCACCACAACAACAGCTCCTCCAACAACCACAACAACTACAGGTCCTCCAACAACCACCACTAGAACAGCACCGCCAACAACCACCACTACAACAGCACCTCCAACAACTACCACAACCACAGCTCCTCCAACAACCACCACCACAACAGCACCTCCAACAACCACCACAACCACCGCTCCCCCAACAACCACCACATCAACAGCTCCTCCAACAACCACCACTACAACAGCACCTCCAACAACCACGACAACAACGGTTCCTCCAACAACCACCACAACAGCTCCTCCAACAACCACCACAACCACCGCTCCTCCAACAACCACCACAACAACAGCTTCTCCAACAACCACCACAACTACAGATCCTCCAACAACCACCACTACAACAGCACCTCCAACAACTACCACAACTACAGCTACTCCAACAACAACCACAACAGCTCCTCCAACAACCACCACAACCACCGCTCCTCCAACAACCACCACAACAACAGCTCCTCTAACAACCACCACGACAACAGCACCTCCAACAACTACCACAACCACAGCTCCTCCAACAACCACCACAACAGCTCCTCTAACAACCACAACCACAGCTCCTCTAACAACCACCACAACAGCTCCTCTAACAACCACAGCTCCCCCAACAACCACAACAACTACAGATCCTCCAACAACCACCACTACAACAGCAGCACCTCCAACAACTACCACAACCACAGCTCCTCCAACAACCACCACAACAGCTCCTCTAACAACCACAACCACAGCTCCCCCAACAACCACAACAACTACAGGTCCTCCAACAACCACCACTACAACAGCACCTCCAACAACCACCACAACAACGGTTCTTCCAACAACCACCACAACAGCTCCTCCAACAACCACCACAACAACAGCACCTCCAACAACTACCACAACCACAGCTCCTCCAACAACCACCACAACAGCTCCTCTAACAACCACAACCACAGCTCCCCCTGCAACCACAACAACTACAGATCCTCCAACAACCACCACTACAACAGCACCTCCAACAACTACCACAACCACAGCTCCTCCAACAACCACCACAACAGCTCCTCTAACAACCACAACCACAGCTCCCCCAACAACCACAACAACTACAGGTCCTCCAACAACCACCACTACAACAGCACCTCCAACAACCACCACAACCACCGGTCCTCCAACAACCACCACAACAACGGTTCCTCCAACAACCACCACAACCACAGCTCCTCCAACAACCACAACCACAGCTCCCCCAACAACCACAACAACTACAGGTCCTCCAACATCCACCACAACAACAGCTCCTCCAACAACCACCACAACCACAGCTCCTCCAACAACCACAACCACAGCTCCCCCAACAACCACAACAACCACCGGTCCTCCAACAACCACCACAACAACAGCTCCTCCAACAACCACCACTACAACAGCACCTCCAACAACTACCACAACCACAGCTCCTCCAACAACAACAACCACAACAGCCCCTCCAACAACCACAACTACAGGTCCTCCAACAACCACCACTACAACAGCACCTCCAACAACTACCACAACCACAGCTTCCCCAACAACCACCACTACAACAGCACCTCCAACAACCACCACAACCACCGGTCCTCCAACAACCGCCACAACAACAGCTCCTCCAACAACCACCACCACATCGGCTCCTCCAACAACCACCACAACCACCGCTCCTCCAACAACCACCACAACAACAGCACCTCCAACAACCAACTCAACAACGGTTCCTCCAACGACCACCACAACTACAAATCCTCCAACAACCACCACAACCACCGCTCCTCCAACAACCACCACAACAATAGCTCCTCCAACAACCACCACAACCACCGCTCCTCCAACAACCACCACAACAACAGCTCCTCCAACAACCACCACAACTACAGGTCCTCCAACAACCAACACTGCAACAGCACCTCCGACAACCACCACAACAACGATTCCTCCAACAACCACCACAACAGCTCCTCTAACAACCACAACCACAGCTCCCCCAACAACCACAACAACTACAGGTCCTCCAACAACAACCACAACCACAGCTCCTCCAACAACCACCACAACAGCTCCTCCAACAACCACAGCTCCCCCAACAACCACCACTACAACAGCACCTCCAACAACTACCACAACCACAGCTCCCCCAACAACCACCACTACAACAGCACCTCCAACAACCACCACAACCACCGGTCCTCCAACAACCACCACCACAACAACTCCTCCAACAACCACCACTACAACAGCACCTCCAACAACTACCACAACCACAGCTTCCCCAACAACCACCACAACAACAGCTCCTCCAACAACCACCACCACATCGGCTCCTCCAACAACCACCACTACAACAGCACCTCCAACAACTACCACAACCACAGCTTCCCAAACAACCACCACTACAACAGCACCTCCAACAACCACCACAACCACCGCTCCTCCAACAACCACCACAACAACAGCACCTCCAACAACCACCTCAACAACGGTTCCTCCAACGACCACCACAACTACAAATCCTCCAACAACCACCACTACAACAGCACTTCCAACAACTACCACAACCACAGCTCCTCCAACAACCACCACAACAGCTCCTCCAACAACCACAACTACAGGTTGTCCAACAACCAACACTGCAACAGCACCTCCAACAACCACCACAACAACGATTCCTCCAACAACCACCACAACCACCGCTCCTCCAACAACCACCACAACTACAGATCCTCCAACAACCACCACTACAACAGCACCTCCAACAACTACCACAACCACAGCTCCCCTAACAACCACCACTACAACAGCACCTCCAACAACTACCACAACCACAGCTCCCCTAACAACCACCACTACAACAGCACCTCCAACAACCACCACCACATCGGCTCCTCCAACAACCACCACAACCACCGCTCCTCCAACAACCACCACCACAACAGCTCCTCCAACAACCACCACAACCACCGCTCCTCCAACAACCACCACAACTACAGATCCTCCAACAACCACCACTACAACAGCACCTCCAACAACTACCACAACCACAGCTCCCCTAACAACCACCACTACAACAGCACCTCCAACAACCACCACCACATCGGCTCCTCCAACAACCACCACAACCACCGCTCCTCCAACAACCACCACAACAATAGCTCCTCCAACAACCACCACAACCACCGCTCCTCCAACAACCACCACAACAACTGCTCCTCCAACAACCACCACAACTACAGGTCCTCCAAAAACCAACACTGCAACAGCACCTCCAACAACCACCACAACAACGATTCCTCCAACAACCACCACAACAGCTCCTCCAACAACCACCACAACCACCGCTCCTCCAACAACCACCACAACAACAGCTCCTGCAACAACCACCACAACCACAGCTCCCCCAACAACCACAACAACTACAGATCCTCCAACAACCACCACTACAACAGCACCTCCAACAACTACCACAACCACAGCTCCCCTAACAACCACCACTACAACAGCACCTCCAACAACCACCACAACAACAGCACCTCCAACATCTACCACAACCACAGCTCCCCTAACAACCACCACTACAACAGCACCTCCAACAACCACCACAACAACAGCTCCTCCAACAACCACCACCACATTGGCTCCTCCAACAACCACCACAACCACCGCTCCTCCAACAACCACCACAACAACAGCTCCTCCAACAACCACCACAACTACAGATCCTCCAACAACCACCACCACAACAGCACCTCCAACAACTACCACAACCACAGCTCCTCCAACAACCACCACAACACTTCTTCCAACAACCACAACTACAGCTCCTCCAACAACCACCACCACAACAGCACCTCCAACAACTACCACAACCACAGCTCCTCCAACAACCACCACAACACTTCTTCCAACAACCACAACAACAGCACCTCCAACAACCACCACAACCACCGCTCCCCCAACAACCACCACATCAACAGCTCCTCCAACAACCACCACAACAACGGTTCCTCAAACAACCACCACAACAACTCCTCCAACAACCACAACTACAGGTCCTCCAACAACCACCACAACAACAGCACCTCCAACAACTACCACAACAACAGCTCCTCCAACAACCACAACCACAGCTCCCCCAACAACCGCAACAACTACAGGTCCTCCAACAACCACCACAACAACAGCTCCTCCAACAACCACAACTACAGGTCCTCCAACAACCACCACTACAACAGCACCTCCAACAACTACCACAACCACAGCTCCTCCAACAACCACCACAACAGCTCCTCCAACAACCACAACCACAGCTCCCCCAACAACCGCAACAACTACAGGTCCTCCAACAACCACCACAACAACAGCTCCTCCAACAACTACCACAACCACAGCTCCCCCAACAACCGCAACAACTACAGGTCCTCCAACAACCACCACAACAACAGCACCTCCAACAACTACCACAACCACAGCTCCTCCAACAACCACCACAACAGCTCCTCCAACAACCACAACTACAGGTCCTCCAACAACCACCACTACAACAGCACCTCCAACAACCACCACAACCACCGCTCCCCCAACAACCACCACATCAACAGCTCCTCCAACAACCACCACTACAACAGCACCTCCAACAACCACGACAACAACGGTTCCTCCAACAACCACCACAACAGCTCCTCCAATAACCACCACAACCACCGCTCCTCCAACAACCACCACAACAGCTCCTCCAACAACCACAACCACAGCTCCCCTAACAACCGCAACAACTACAGGTCCTCCAACAACCACCACAACAACAGCTCCTCCAACAACCACAACTACAGGTCCTCCAACAAGCACCACTACAACAGCACCTCCAACAACTACCACAACTACAGCTCCTCCAACAACCACCACAACAGCTCCTCCAACAACCACCACTACAACAGCACCTCCAACAACTACCACAACTACAGCTCCTCCAACAACCACCACAACAGCTCCTCCAACAACCACAACTACAGGTCCTCCAACAACCACCACTACAACAGCACCTCCAACAACCACCACAACCACCGCTCCCCCAACAACCACCACATCAACAGCTCCTCCAACAACCACCACAACTACAGATCCTCCAACAACCACCACTACAACAGCACCTCCAACAACCACCACTACAACAGCACCTCCAACAACTACCACAACTACAGATCCTCCAACAACCACCACTACAACAGCACCTCCAACAACTACCACAACTACAGCTACTCCAACAACCACGACAACAACGGTTCCTCCAACAACCACCACAACAGCTCCTCCAACAACCACCACAACCACCGCTCCTCCAACAACCACCACACCTACAGATCCTCCAACAACTACCACAACTACAGCTCCTCCAACAACCACCACAACAGCTCCTCCAACAACCACAACAACTACAGGTCCTCCTACAACCACCACTACAACAGCACGTCCAACAACCACCACAACAACGGTTCCTCAAACAACCACCACAACAACTCCTCCAACAACCACAACTACAGGTCCTCCAACAACCACCACAACAGCTCCTCCAACAACCACAACCACAGCTCCCCCAACAACCGCAACAACTACAGGTCCTCCAACAACCACCACAACAACAGCTCCTCCAACAACCACCACTACAACAGCACCTCCAACAACTACCACAACCACAGCTCCTCCAACAACCACCACAACAGCTCCCCCAACAACCACAACAACTACAGGTCCTCCAACAACCACCACTACAACGGTTCCTCCAACAACCACCACAACAACTCCTCCAACAACCACCACAACTACAGCTCCTCCAACAACCACAACTACAGGTCCTCCAACAACCACCACTACAACAGCACCTCCAACAACTACCACAACCACATCTCCCCCAACAACAACCACCACAACAGCTCCTCCAACAACCACCACAACAACGGTTCCTCCAACAACCACCACAACAGCTCCTCTAACAACCACAACTACAGGTCCTCCAACAACCACCACTACAACAGCACTTCCAACAACCACCACAACTACAGCTCCTCCAACAACCACCACATCAACAGCTCCTCCAACAACCACCACAACTACCGCTCCTCCAACCACCACCACAACAACTTCTCCAACAACCAACACTACAACAGCTCCTCCAACAACCACCACAACAGCTCCTCCAACAACTACCACAACCACCACAACAGCTCCTCTAACAACCACAACTACAGGTCCTCCAACAACCACCACTACAACAGCACCTCCAACAACCACTACAAGTACCACTCCTTTGCCATTAGTATCACATAGGACTGCAGCAGTGGCTATAGCAGCCAGTGTTGCAGCAACCGCAGCAACTGCAGCAGCAACAGCTGCAGCAGTAGCAGCAGCAGTAGTAGCATCCCCAACAGCATCCCCAGCCGACAGGGAGCTGGCACAGAAAGCGCAGGAAGCAGCTGCAGAAGCTTTGCGCATTCTCCAAGAAGGACTGAGACAAGCTGATGCATCTCTTAACGGGTCTGGATCTGTCGCTGATACATTAGAAGCCGCTCGACTGACAGCACAAAAAGCACTCGAGGCCTCCCTTGCAGCACTGACAGCATCACAAAATGCCTCAGGGTCATCATCCCCATACGGAGAACATTTAGCCAAAGCAGCTGCTGAAGCAAAAGAGGCAGCTCTCAAATCAATCCAAGCAGTAAATAATGTGTCAAATTTAAATCCTGAAAGTTTAGAGGCGGCAACTAAAGCCATGAATGAGTCTACAACAGCAGCAGAAAGAGCAATCATAGAGTTAAAGGCTGCTCTAGAACTAAATAATTCTGAACCTATTGACCCTACATTAAAAGAAATTGTAATTCGGGCAACTAAACATGCTGAAGATACTGCTGTTAGAACCACAACCGCTGTTCAAAAAGCAATTGAATCTTTAACAGCAAATACTCCAAGTGATGCACAACAATCTTCTGATGATACTATTAGGTTGGTATTTGATACAGTAATTCCTGAAGCAATTGAAGCATTTGCAGATGCATCTGATGCATTATCATACAATACTTCTACTACTGCTCCAACAACTACAAGCACACATCCAACCACAGTAATAGTCAACACTCTACAAACTACAACAATAACTTCATCACAAGCCGTATCAAATAGGACTGCAGCAGCAGCTATAGCAGCCAGTGTTGCAGCAACCGCAGCAACTGCTGCAGCAACTGCTGCAGCAGTAGCAGCTGCAGTAGCAGCATCCCCAACAGCATCCCCAGCCGACAGGGAGCTGGCACAGAAAGCTCATGAAGCAGCTGCAGAAGCTATGCACATTCTTCAAGAAGGACTTAAAGAAGCTGATGAATTACGGAACAACTCTGGATCTGTTGCTGATACACTAGAAGCCGCTCGATTGTCAGCACGAAAAGCACTCGAGGCCTCCCTTGCAGCACTGACAGCATCACAAAATGCCTCAGGGTCATCAACCCCATACGCAGAACATTTAGCCAAAGCAGCTGCTGAAGCAAAAGAGGCTGCTCTTAAATCAATCCAAGCAGTGAATAATGTGTCAAATTTAAATCCTGAAAGTTTAGAGGCGGCAACTAAAGCCATGAATGAGTCCACAATAGCAGCAGAACGAGCAATTATAGAGTTAAAGGCTGCTCTAGAACTAAATAATACTGAACCTATTGACCCTACATTAAAAGAAATGTTAATTAATGCAACTAAACATGCTGAAGATACTGCTGATAGAACCACAACTGCTGTTCAAAAAGCCATTGAGTCTTTAAAAGCAAACACTTCAGTCGATGCACAACAATCTTTAAATGAGGCTATCAGATTAGTGTTTAATGCTGTAATTCCTTCAGCAATTGAAGCAGTTGCAGATGCATCTGATGCATTATCATACAATCCTTCTACTACTGCTCCAACAACTACAACCATACATCCAACCATAGTAATAATCAACACTCTACAAACTACAACAATAACTTCATCACCAGCCGTATCAAATAGGACTGCAGCAGCAGCTATAGCAGCCAGTGTTGCAGCAACCGCAGCAACTGCAGCAGCAACAGCTGCAGCAGTAGCAGCTGCAGTAGTAGCATCCCCAACAGCATCCCCAGCCGACAGGGAGCTGGCACAGAAAGCTCAGGAAGCAGCTGCAGAAGCTATGCGCATTCTTCAAGAAGGACTTAAAGAAGCTGATGAATTACGGAACAACTCTGGATCTGTTGCTGATACACTAGAAGCCGCTCGACTGACAGCACAAAAAGCACTCAAGGCCTCCCTTGCAGCACTGACAGCATCACAAAATGCCTCAGGGGCATCATCCCCATACGCAGAACATTTAGCCAAAGCAGCTGCTGAAGCAAAAGAGGCAGCTCTCAAATCAATCCAAGCAGTGAATAATGTGTCGAATTTAAATCCTGAAAGTTTAGAAGCGGCAATTAAAGCCATGAATGAGTCCACAATAGCAGCCGAACGAGCAATCATAGAGTTAAAGGCTGCTCTAGAACTAAATAATACTGAACCTATTGACCCTACATTAAAAGAAATGTTAATTAATGCAACTAAACATGCTGAAGATACTGCTGATAGAACCACAACTGCTGTTCAAAAAGCCATTGAGTCTTTAAAAGCAAACACTTCAGTCGATGCACAACAATCTTTAAATGAGGCTATCAGATTAGTGTTTAATGCTGTAATTCCTTCAGCAATTGAAGCAGTTGCAGATGCATCTGATGCATTATCATACAATACTTCTACTACTGCTCCAACAACTACAACCATACATCCAACCACAGTAATAATCAACACTCTACAAACTACAACAATAACTTCATCACCAGCCGTATCAAATAGGACTGCAGCAGCAGCTATAGCAGCCAGTGTTGCAGCAACCGCAGCAACTGCAGCAGCAACAGCTGCAGCAGTAGCAGCTGCAGTAGTAGCATCCCCAACAGCATCCCCAGCCGACAGGGAGCTGGCACAGAAAGCTCAGGAAGCAGCTGCAGAAGCTATGCGCATTCTTCAAGAAGGACTTAAAGAAGCTGATGAACTACGGAACAACTCTGGATCTGTTGCTGATACACTAGAAGCCGCTCGACTGACAGCACAAAAAGCACTCAAGGCCTCCCTTGCAGCACTGACAGCATCACAAAATGCCTCAGGGTCATCATCCCCATACGCAGAACATTTAGCCAAAGCAGCTGCTGAAGCAAAAGAGGCAGCTCTCAAATCAATCCAAGCAGTGAATAATGTGTCGAATTTAAATCATGAAAGTTTAGAAGCGGCAATTAAAGCCATGAATGAGTCCACAATAGCAGCCGAACGAGCAATCATAGAGTTAAAGGCTGCTCTAGAACTAAATAATACTGAACCTATTGACCCTACATTAAAAGAAATGTTAATTAATGCAACTAAACATGCTGAAGATACTGCTGATAGAACCACAACTGCTGTTCAAAAAGCCATTGAGTCTTTAAAAGCAAACACTTCAGTCGATGCACAACAATCTTTAAATGAGGCTATCAGATTAGTGTTTAATGCTGTAATTCCTTCAGCAATTGAAGCAGTTGCAGATGCATCTGATGCATTATCATACAATCCTTCTACTACTGCTCCAACAACTACAACCATACATCCAACCACAGTAATAATCAACACTCTGCAAACTACAACAATAACTTCATCACCAGCCGTATCGAATAGGACTGCAGCAGCAGCTATAGCAGCCAGTGTTGCAGCAACCGCAGCAACTGCAGCAGCAACAGCTGCAGCAGTAGCAGCTGCAGTAGCAGCATCCCCAACAGCATCCCCAGCCGACAGGGAGCTGGCACAGAAAGCTCATGAAGCAGCTGCAGAAGCTATGCGCATTCTTCAAGAAGGACTTAAAGAAGCTGATGAATTACGGAACAACTCTGGATCTGTTGCTGATACACTAGAAGCCGCTCGAGTGACAGCACAAAAAGCACTCGAGGCCTCCCTTGCAGCACTGACAGCATCACAAAATGCCTCAGGGTCATCATCCCCATACGCAGAACATTTAGCCAAAGCAGCTGCTGAAGCAAAAGAGGCAGCTCTCAAATCAATCCAAGCAGTGAATAATGTGTCGAATTTAAATCCTGAAAGTTTAGAAGCGGCAACTAAAGCCATGAATGAGTCCACAATAGCAGCAGAACGAGCAATCATAGAGTTAAAGGCTGCTCTAGAACTAAATAATACTGAACCTATTGACCCTACATTAAAAGAAATGTTAATTAATGCAACTAAACATGCTGAAGATACTGCTGATAGAACCACAACTGCTGTTCAAAAAGCCATTGAGTCTTTAAAAGCAAACACTTCAGTCGATGCACAACAATCTTTAAATGAGGCTATCAGATTAGTGTTTAATGCTGTAATTCCTTCAGCAAATTATGCAGTTGTCGATGCATATGAAGCATTATCATACAATCCTTCAACAATTAGGGCAACAACGTCAGCAGCAGCATCAGCTGCCGCTGCAACAGCCTCGTCTGCTGCAGCTGCAGCAGCGTCAATTTCCACTATGGCTGGAGCAAAAGAATCACCAATCGCTGAAATGGCCATGAGATTAGCAAAGGAAGCAGCCAAGGTGGCAGCATTAGTGGCCAATGGGAAGAGCCTGCCATCAGAAGCAGCACAAGCAGCACTGGAAGCCACGAATAAAGCTTTGGAAGCTATATTTGCAGCAAAAGTAGAAGCCTCTAAACTACCAGCATCTATGAAAAATGTGTCCGAAAAACTTCTAACTATAGCCCTAGATTTACAAAAGGCAGCTGCCAAAGCAGCAGATGCAGCACAACAAGCCACCACTGGAACAGACGAGTCAATAATTGGAGCAAAACAGGCAGAGACAGAGGTTAAGGAATTGTCTGATGAGACTTCAATTTCTTTGGATAAAATTTTAAATTCTTTCAATGAACCATCTACTCCCAGAAAAAGAGCAATAAGGCTTTCAATTTCAGCAACAAAGGCAGTGACAGAAATGGCAAAAGCAACTTCACAGGCAGCTATCGCCGCAACAGGTGTCACGAAAGAAGAGACAGCTGATATTATGTTAACATCGGCCAAAGCAGCTGCAGGGGCAGCCAAGGCGAGTGCAATTGCAGCAGAACTAGCCCTTCCACGAGGCGACATCATCAATGTGATCCCAACCCCTGCACCTGTGACAAGAGCAGACAGATCAGCAGTGTCAGCGCCCACAGCTGCAGCAGCAGCTGCCACAGCATTATGCGCATCTTTGGCTTCTGCCTCTGGTGCACCCTACCAAGATGTATTAGCAGCTGTGACAG